GCAAAGCACTATGCTAGTTTGGAACTTCAAAGAGGATTAAGATTTTGCCTTTGCTGTTAAGGGTAGGCTCCGCATGAACAAAACAGGAAATATAGGTATAACATGCTATATACTAGAGATAAAATTGCACATTTGCTTAAATAATTACTGATTTATTTTTTATGATATAATACAGTGCAGTAAGGCTAGAACACACTTTGGAGATCCCTACAAGAAGGTTAGAATTCAGGCTCTGGCATACAGTATTTAACCTCTGTGAGCTCAGCTTCCAGATCCATAAAATTCTCATGATAATAGCACATTTGAAGAGTGTTGTGAAGATGAAATGAAATAGCATATGGGAAAAGTCTAGTATCCTGACTGGAACATAATAGATCTTCAATAAATAGTAATTATTATATATCTGCTTTTTGTTCTTTGGAAAAACCCATCCGCTGTGAGTAGTTATACACACATGTGATCCTACATCTGTCCGTTCTCCGTTCTCCGTTCCCAAGTTCAGGCCACCATCATCTCTCAACTTGACTCGTATAGCAGCGTCTTATAAGAGCCCCTTTACTCTTGCCTTCCTGTTATTTATTGTCCATACAACTGCCAGAGTGATTTTGTACAAAATACAATTCAATCATATAATTTCCTTACTTCAAACCCTTGGTGCTCTCCTGGTGAGATTATGAGCTACAAATCAAACTTGTTACCACAGCTTATGAGCAAAGGCAGAGGTAGTGTGAATATCAAAGGGAGAAAACTGGGGAAAATAACATAAGAAAAATGATTAACTTTTGTGTTCACTTGCTATGGCTACCGTAACAAAGTACCATAGATGGGGTGGCTTAAACAACAACAAATTTATTTTTTCACAATTCTGGATGCATCAAGGTGTCAGCGGGGTTGGTTTCTTCTAAGTACTCTCTCCTGGGCTTGTACATAGCCATCTTCTCTTTGTGTCTTTACATGGTCTTCCCCCTGTGTGTGTCTGTGTCCTATTCTTTTCTTGTAAGGACACCAGTCATTTGGAATTAGGACCCACCTTAGTGACCTTGTTTTAACTCACCTATTTAAAGACTCTCTATCCAAATATGTACATATTCCAAGGTACTGGGAGTTAGGACTTCAACATATGAATATGGAGGGAACAAAATTTAGCCCATAACAACCTCTTTATCCATCTCCACATCTTTTATTCATATTTATACAAGTTCTTGTCCGTGTAGTTTTAACAACAGTCACTATAGCATATATTATAAATGTGTTGCTTAAAAGAAGCCACTTTTCAGAATATAAGCTCAGGGGTAGATGCTCTGTCCAGTGCTTCTTGGTTTTCATTTTGTCTTTGTGGCATTTTTTTTTTTTTTGAAATTTTTTATTTTTTTATATCTATTCAAATATATTAAAAATGCTTCATGGAAGTTTTTTAACTTTTATTTTTTAGAACCACTTTTTTTAAATGGAAACATAATTGCTTATACACATTTGTGAGGTACAGACTTGAATATTAATACCTGTATATAATGTGTGATGATCAAACCAGGATAATTAGCATATCCATCCTTACAAAACGTAATCATCCTTTGTATCCATTGGACCAATTTCCCGCTAAGCTCCCCTACATCCCCCTGCATTTATCACTCTCTTCCTTCCTCACTTTGCTTCAGCCCCACTGGCCTCTTTTCTGGCCTTTCTCTGCCTCTGAACATCTCCCCTTTCTGTTCTCTCCACCTGGAATCCAGTTCTCTCAGCTCTTTCAATGGCTCATGCTCATCCTTCAGGTCTAGTTTAAGTCACTGTTTTGAAAAAGCAGCTTTAACTACAAATCTAGAGTGGTCTTTTCAGTCTCTCACTCTTACCAGCCTGTTTTTTTAAATTTTTCTTTTCAATCTTAGCAATGATAGCATTCCGTCATTTAACTTCTTTCTTTAGTATTTATCTTCTGACTCCTTCAATACCTTGTTAACTCCTTGAGGCAGAGAACTCACGAGTGAGTCTTGTTTGTCACTGTAGCATCACATCACCTGGCATGGAACCTGGCACACAGATAGTGCTCACTCAATAAATGTTTATTGAATGAGTTTCTCAATGAAGTCGCTTTACCAATCATATGTTTTTAGGATCTCACTCAATCTCAAAGATCCATACAATCATATAAAGTAATGTCACAAACAAATACTGAGGTTATAATTCTGAACACAAAACATTTTTTAAGAATCATTTAAAAAGTAGTATGTTATGCAAGAATTTGAAAATGTTGTTATCATGAAAGCATAACTACAAGAATTAGCATATACCCACACACCTTAAAAAAATCTATAAAGAAAAATATCATTGGCCTATTTCTCCCTCTCCTAGACTCCCTTGGAATAAAAACTTTGTATGTTTTACATAAAATATATTTATTGTCATTTATATAAAAAGTATATTTTATTTGTATAAAATATATGTGTTTAATATATTTATATATCACATATTATATATTGTATTTTAATATTAAAACATTAATATTTTAAATTAAATTAAAATATCAATATTTTATAGAACACAGTGTTGTAAATACTATTCTAGAAAACAGAAGAACACTGTAAATTAAAGTGAACAGCCTCATCTATGAACTTAGAAATGTTAAGTTGTCAGGCTCTACCTTACAACTACTAAATTGGCAAATCTGGGGGTGGGGTCTAGCAATCTGTACTAACAAGCCCTCCAAGTGATGATGTAGTTAAAGTTTGAGAACCACTATCCTAAACTGATCTGAAAGTAACTTGATTTCTCAAGGATCTTGTTAAACAGTCTATTTGACAGGACATAATAACCTTTATTGTCTGAGTACCTTATTTCCCCTTGTCCTGATCTGCAATGGCATAGTGTTTCTGCTTTTTAATACTCTTGCAATTAAAAAACTAACAGAGTGATTTCTCCAACTTGTGAACCTATTTGAGTGAAATCACAGTCTTCTAGGGTTCAACACACACTTGTATTACTATTAACTATTCCTGGAACGATTTAGCTTTAATGAGACTATTATTACCATGTTGTTGTTGTTTCCAATTTCTCATTAAAATAAAAAAATTAATTAACTTATCTGATTTCTAAAGATGTCATTTTTAAAAATTTGGTACTTCGAAGGCTGTACTTTTCCTAGATACTTATTGAATAAAGAATTTTATCTTCCGGGCCGGCCCGGTGGCGCACTGCTATAGTGCGCTGCTTGGGAAGTGCGGCGGTGCTCCCGCCCGAGGGTTTGGATCCCACATACAGACCGGCCACTCACTGGCTGAGCAAGGGGCGGGAGCAACACCGAGGGTTGCGATCCTGTGGCCGGTCATGAAAAAAGACAAAAAGGAAAAAAAAAAAAAAGAATTTTATCTTCCTTCCTGAAACTTTCTTTTGTGGCTCAATCTTCATCCTTTAGAGTGAGAAACATTTGGATTCATTTTTATGAGGATCACTTTAGACCTAGGGCATTAAGTGATACCACCTCTGTTCTTTGCCTTTTTTTGGTATATATCCAATTTCCCAGCCAGTATGCAAAGGAAATATTCCATCTTGATAGCAGATGTTATTCTTTCCTGTTATGGACCATCTAGCCTTTGCCCATAGAGCATTATAAATCATCCGCTAAGGAATTTTTATATTTTATTAGTAATAAAATGCTATAAGATCTATAATAATAACTACTATCATTATTGAACACATTATGTTCTAGTGACTGCCACAGGTGATTTACATATATTATCTCTGCTAATATGCATTAAAATCTTTACTCATGAGGATACATGACTTCACCATTGTCATACAACAAGAGGTGTTAGAGCCAAATTTTAACTCCAGAATTCCTGATTTTAAGCACAGACTAAATCCAGATTGTAGCAATATTCCTCTGTCTAAAATCTGTGTCTGCCATATTGTCATCATGCTCCCACCTTTCTCTTCTTCCGAAACACCTCTATACTTGTTTGTGAGCCAGTCATATTTAGAGGAGAGAATCTCAGCAGTGGCCATTGTCAGAAGCAGAGGGAAACTAATATGGAATGAGTACTTTCATAACAGAGTCACTGTGTCTAGTGTCTCATTTGAGCAGTTTCATTTGATTTCTATCAAAATCTTGCCTGAAAGGTGTGGTTGCTGCTATTGAGGGGTTAAGTAACTCGCCCAAGATCACGCCGTTACTAGGTTGCAGAGTATGGATAGGTGTGATTTATAGGAGAGCTTGCTTTTGACCCCAATCATCAGGGGCTGGTGTGCCTATTGTTAAAGGTGACAGGAATCATTTTTTAAGTTATTTACCAGTATCCCCAACTTTCCAAAGATGCATTCCTTACAGCTGTTAGGTTTTTCTCCTCTTCACTCCTGTGGCCACATTTCCTCTTTTAACAACTCAGTTCTTTATAGAGGCCAATCAGATGATGGACTATAAAAAAAAAAAAAATCACAAAGGCTAAAAGCTTTTGCGTCTCTGCACTGACTGTTGTAACTGTGCCCAGGGGTGATGTATCTTTGAAAAACAAGGTTCCCTGGTAAGTAATTGGGGTTTCTTTGTGCCTGTATGTAAACACTGTTTTCTGGTTTTGTTGTGCTTTGGTCTACATTTTTTGTAGAGATTCATTATTTCATTGAAAATTTAAGTTGCTTGTAAAAATGTAGTATACCTGTATTTACTCTTTAATTTTCTAACCCTTCTAGTCTGTAAAATTGGTAATTATTTTTTCACACTTATTTACTTCATACCTACTAGGTCCTGTTACGGAAGTGAAAACTGACATATATGTCACCAGCTTTGGACCTGTTTCCGATGTTGAAATGGTAGGTATCTGGAAAATTTAATGTACCTCTTGAGGTTTGAAGAAAATATGCAGAAAAGAAGGCAATTAATATTTATTTCATTTTCAATCACACAAAGCTAGAAAGCCGAAGAATGGCCTAATTAAGCAATAGTTTATAAAGAGTAAGACATTGAATTTACATATTATCATTAACATTTGAAGTCATTCTCAACAAAGAGAAGAAATTTTTTATTACAGTCATCTCCCCTTGTCCTCAGGGGATAATCCAGGATCCTCAGTGGATACCTGAAACCATGCATAGTACCAAACCCTCTCTCTCTCTCTCTGTGTGTATATATATATAATGTTTTTTTGTATGAATACATACTGTGATAGAGTTTACTTTATAAATTAGGCACAGTAAAAGATTAACAGCAATAAGTAATAATAAAATAGAACAATTATAACAGTATGCCAGCATCGGTACTCTTGTGCTTTGAGGCCATTATTAAGTAAAATATGGGTTACCTGAACACAAGCACAGTGATACCAGACAGTGAGTTTGATAACCCAGTCAACTATAAAGTGACTAAGGGGTGGGGAGCATCTACAGTGTGGATGTACAGTACAGAGGGATGCTTCATGACATCCCATGCAGGACAGCAAAGATCTCATCATGCTATGCAGAATGGTGCACAATTTAAAACTTATGAATTGTTTATTTCTGGAATTCTCCATTGAATATTTTCTGACCTCTCTTGTCCATGGGTAACTGAGACTGTGGGTAGAAAAGCCATGGATATGGGGGCACTACAGTACACTAGTACAGTAGCACATACTTGGGTGTATAGCACCCGTAGCATAACCTTGGGTGTAGGCTTTTGTGTTTGTTTATAAAACTGTTGAGGAGGTGAAAATTAGATATCAGAATTAGTTTTGTTGTGAACTAATTGTGTACACTATATTATATTCCTAATTGCATTTATTGTTTCATGTTGGCACAATTGCTTGCTGTCTGTCCCCTGCCCCTCACCCCCTTTCTCTCTTGCTTAAAGAGCTTATAATACCAAGTGCTGGTCAAACAGAATTCATCCATTCAATTGTGCTATCTTATATCAAATATATTTAGCTTACATGACAGGGAAGCTACTTCACTTTTTTCCTTATCCCTAGGCTCCTAGTGATTAGAAATCCTTGGGTTATCTGATTAATTTTAATAAACTTTGTGGAAATAAAATTTGTCTTTTACATATTTTATTTTGTTTTAAAGAAATGCCTGCAATTTTATCCTTCATTATGCAATGATATTTGCTACACATTAACTGATTTTTTTCTTTCTGGTCTAAGGTAAAGCACGACTGTAATTACCTGGAAGTTTTATTAAATTACAGTCATTATTCTTGAATGATTAGTATGCATAGTAATTGATTTCTTTTAAGAATATAGAAGATGAAGGTATCAAGATGGACATAATATACTCTAACTGCTGGGAATCTTTTTGCTCCATTGATTTAAGATCTTTTCTGCTTATTTATTTTGTTTTTATCTGGGGTAGTCTTTTTTATGAGTGAGAAAGAGGCTAGAATTTAATGCATTTTTTTCCTGTATATTTATGTGTAGTCATCCGTGATTTGAATATGTCACAAATGAATTTCCCTAGGAATACACAATGGATGTGTTCTTCAGACAGACGTGGATTGACAAAAGACTAAAATATGATGGCCCCATTGAAATTTTGAGATTGAATAATATGATGGTAACAAAAGTATGGACCCCTGATACTTTTTTCAGGAATGGAAAGAAATCTGTCTCACATAATATGACAGCTCCAAACAAGCTTTTTAGAATCATGAGAAATGGCACTATCTTATACACAATGAGGTAATTATTTTTTTCTTTTTCCTTCTTCCTTTTTAATCTTATTTCCTTTCTTTTTTTTCTTTCCTTTGTTTCCTTCCTCCCTCTCTCCCTCCCTCCCTCCCTTACTTCTTTCCTTCCTTCCTTCCTTTCCATTTCAAATATCTATAAAATTATTTTGAAGAAAGGGTTGATTTTATTTAATTGCATTTTTCCGTCATAGACTCACCATAAGTGCGGAGTGTCCCATGAGATTGGTGGATTTCCCCATGGATGGTCATTCATGCCCTTTGAAATTTGGGAGTTGTAAGTTACAATAAAAATGCTGTTACCTTTATGAGTGCTTCTTACAAGCTGATAGTTACACTTGTATATGATTTTTCATAATTCAGCATTTAAATCATTGTCCATCAAAATAACAATCCACGGTTTGAGTTTTAGGAAACTTTTATTATTTTTTTAAAATAAAGAAGTAAAAACAACCCTCTTTCCTCCCCCAAAACCAAAAACCTATTTGCTACAAGCTGATAGTTACACTTGTATATGATTTTTCATAATTCAGCATTTAAATCATTGTCCATCAAAATAACAATCCAAGGTTTGATTTTTAGGAAACTTTTATTATTTTTTAAAATAAAGAAGTAAAAACAACCCTCTTTCCTCCCCCAAAACCAAAAACCTATTTGTACAGATAGATTAGGTAGGTTGAGTCATAATTAATAGGTTGGTGGTCACTGGTGACATTTAGGGACCTCTGAACTCTATGTGTTGGTGGTTTAACACAGAAAGTGACAATGAAAATGATTTTTTTGTTATTGCTTTTGTAATTTAACAGTTTCTTTTGTGAGCAGTGTCCTTTATGGCAGGCTTGGGAAAAGGCCAAAGTTAGTTCTGGGCTTCCCAACGTGACACAGATTAAAATAACATAAGCAGCACTGTTAGCATAAAAGTGGCTGAAGCATGACAAAAGCATAGTAGGAGGTGTGTTCTGAGAGAATATAGTGCCTCATAGACCACAATAAGATATTTGGATTTTATCTGAAAACTGTGAAGTCTTTGGAAGATTTTACAAAGGAGTTTGGCATTCCTTGGTTGACACTGCACAATTCCATCTGTTTCTTTAGGGAGCGGTTGTAGAGAGGCTGAAGTGGAAGCAAAGAAGAGCTGGAGGCTGTTGTTTCAGTACAAGTGAAGATGGTGGTGGCTTAGACAGGATGGTCCTAGAGGAGAAATTGTGAGACAGACATGTTTGGGATATTCCATAGAGATGAAGCCCAAGAGGATGGGACAAATGGATAGGAAAGAATCTGAGATTCCTTTTCTCAAGCTCCCTTCTCTGAGATGGTAGAAAATGTGATTGCCTCTTCTAAGGTCTGCTTCAAAAATTCATGTCAATCAGAATCCACCAAAAATAGATGTTGGCTTTTACTATTGCTTCAGACTCTTAGTTGCACTGATTGTGAAACCATGGCCTGCTATCATTGCTCATTGCTTAACTTGATGAGAATCAGCAGTCACTGTCTTTTTATAACTCCTAGTAATCACAATGTTCAGTGGGCTAACTTGAAGCTAGAGAATCATTTGCTCCCTGACCAATGACTTAATGACAGAAGATAAAAACAGAAAAATACATAGATAGTATGGGTGATCTCATTGTGGCCAGAATTAAAATCCATTTGTGCTGTAATGGTTTAAATTTTACCCAAAGTAGTTCTTACATAAAGGAAGTCCTTTCTGCTCCCCATCCCCCCTCCAGTTCTCATAGAAAGCACTCTTCAGAGTGTCTTGAACATAGCTGGTGCTCAGTCAGCATTAGTAAAAATAAAGAAAGCACATCTTGGAAGCTGATGTATTTGATTGAGAATTAAATTAGAAGTGCATTATACTCAGAAAGTAAGGATCCTTAATTACCGTGGAAAGAGAAAAAAAACTATGTAACTGTTTACAATTTACAAGAATGAGAAAAATCAGGAAAGAAAAAGATTATTCTAGCAAGGTAGGGTAGCCAAGAGAAGAACACCTGATTTAAAATGTCATAGACTAGAACATAATATACGGGGGCTTTAAATGTAAAATAAAGTGTGAATATTCTTTAGGAGACAAATGCTGACACATAACTATGTATAATGCTACAAAAGCCTTATAGTTTGTTTTGCAAGGCTGTTTGTAAAGATAGTCTCCCTAGGTATTGATTCCTTTCATAGAATTTAACAATTCCATTGAGGACCTACTGTGCTCTAGCCATTTTAGGAAGGATTGGGGTGGGGTGGTGACACATAATTCATTTTGGTTCTTTTGAACTTATTTGTGTGTGAGCCAAGCTGTCTGTTCTGGGTAGACTGGTAAGCAAGCAGCTGGTCTCCAATTGCACTGACTGCGGAATAATAGAAAATGGGCTTAAATTGCTGCTGGGAGGGATTTGTTGAAGATGGAAGGGAAAATGTCCTGATCGTAAGAGTTCAAAAGTAGTAGAACTGGTTGTGTAATTATATTCCCTGGAGGGCTTTACAAACAGCATAGCCAGTTGTCGCTGTGGAATGGTTCCCAAACACCATGAGTACTGCCCAGAGGCAGAGTCTGGAATAGGTGACCCCTGGAGAGCTCTCCCAACAGTAGGATTTGTTTTTTGTTGTTGTTGTTGTTGTATTATAGGCAGCATCTGGTACTCTTCTAAATGGCAAAGCTGTATTAGGATGGAAGAAGTCAGTATTGGACAAGCACTGGAAGTGAGTTAGAAGTGAAAGAAGTAGGACGGTGATAGCATTGTTTTGGGGGGGTTAATATATCTGCTTTCAACTGCTTATCCTATTAGCATGGAGACATATCCAAGTGCATTGATACCTATATGGCATTTTAGATGCTTCAGTTTTAGTCTCTCCTACTCCAATTCATTGGCATAAAAACAATAAATCCTGTTGAGTTGCAAGACTATTTACTTTTTATAGTTTCTAAACCTTAAGCATGTTTGAATAAATCATAATGAATATAATTTTCACTTATTCCATCTTTCTTGAATGTGTAATCATCTTAAGTGTTGACCACCAGTTCAGGCAAAAAAGGAGCAGTGAGTCTAACCGCATTCTATACTCTCATTCAGATGCATATCCGAAGAGTGAGATGATCTATACCTGGACAAAAGGTCCTGAGAAATCAGTTGAAGTGCCAAAGGAGTCTTCCAGCTTAGTTCAATATGACTTGATTGGGCAAACTGTATCAAGTGAAACCATCAAATCAATTACTGGTGAGATGTTTAATGATTAAAGTCAATATGCTACTTGGCATTAGCAATAGAGTTTTGTTCTGGCTTTTTCATTGAAATATATAGTATTTTCAGGGGAACGACCAAAAATTTCCAGAAATAGAGTTGATGCATAAATCACAGCTCAGAATTTTTTTATTTATATTTATAATCTTAGTTTAAAAGAAATTCTGAGTTGGTGAGATGTGAGAAATGAGTTGGTTTTCTAATTCAGAAATAATAGTGATCAAATATATTAAAACTATTCTCAACAAAATTATGAGGAAGGAAGTCTGACCCTGTTTTTTTGTGTGTGTGCTTTCCAGAAATATTTTTTTATCTTGCCCAATTTTATGGTGCTACCTTCCCCCTTTTTTCCAAAGTAAAAGCAAAATCTAATGCTTAATTAAAAAGTATATTGAAGGTATATATTAAAGTTGTCACATGAGTAGGTGGGTATTATTATTGATGGTTCTTGGTCTGTATTTGCTTTTGGAATGTGATGGAAAGAGTCATAGCATCTAGTTTTCATCACAGTTAATGGGGGAGAAATTGTCTGATTATTGCTTGTCTGAAGACTTTTCCTTATATACACATATCACCAGGGAAAAACATTTTTTGTTTTGATGATAATTGTATTAGTCCATTTGGGTTGCTGTAACCTGGGTATACCATAAACTGGGTAACTTACAGACAACAAAAATTTATTTTTCACAGTTCTGGAGGCTGGGAAGTCCAATATCAGTGTCCGATTCAGTGTCTGGTATGGGCCTGTTTCCTGGTTTGTGGAACAGTGCCTTCTCACTGTGTCCTCACATATGGACCCTCCTGGGGGATGGCACTGGGGCCTCTTTTATAAGGGCACTAATCCCACTCATGAGGGCTCCACCCTCATGATCTAATCATCTTCTACTACCAAAATCCTAATATCATCACATTGGTGACTAGGTTTCAATATATGAATTTTGGTGAACGACAGATATTCAGATGATAGCAATAGTTAAAATTTATTCATTGGTTGCCATCTGACAGGCAACATTCTAAATTCTTTCAGTGTATTAACTCATTGAATTCTCATAACCACCACTGTGAAGTGGATACTATTACTATCTTCATGTTTCAGATGAGGAAGATATAAATACAATGTATTTAAGTAACTTGCCTGAGTCATACAACTGATAAATGGCAAAACCAAAATTCAAACACAGGCATTTTGACTTCTGAGTGCATCTTCTTAAAAGGTTCTTGACTGACATTTCAGAATGTTAGGATCATGTTAGAAAATGAGTAGGTGGAAGGTCTGGAACAAAGGTTTGAGATGATGAAGATTTTTGTTTTTTGTTTTAGGAAAATATTGATAAAGTAGTGATGTGAAAGGATGTGAATCTAAAATAATCAAATTCATAGAAGTAGAGATTAGAATGGTGGTAGTCGGAAGCTGGGAGGAAGGGAAACATGGAGGTATTAGTCAGAGGACACGAAATTTCAGTTGTACAGATGAATATGTCCTAGAATTCTACTGTACCATATAGTGCCTATTGTATTGCATACTTAAAAATTTTCCAAGATGATAGATTTTAAGTGTTCTTGTCACACACATAAGAATAATGATTTAAAAAAAAGGTGGGAGAAAACTTTTGGAGGAGATGGGTGTGTTTATGGCATACATTGTGCTGATGGTTTCATGGATATATACTTATCTCCAAACTAATCAATTTGTATATATTAAATATGCACAGCTTTTTGTATAGTAATCATATCTGAATAAAGTGTTTCAAAAACTAAAATTAAATAAAACAAATAAGGGAAAATTAATTATGGAGAAATAAAATTAATACATGAGGTTTTGTAAAAAAAAAAATAGTTAGCCTACTGTCTCCTCTATTAAAACTGTTTTGTATAAATCCACACACTATGTCTTTTTTCATGAAATCAATGGCTCTTCTCCTCTCTTTTAAATTCCCATGATTATTATCTTCACAAAGCCTGACATGACTGCCATCATTTTGGGGAACCCCATTTTCCATCAATTATGAAACTTTGCAGAACCTTCTAACAGGGCACTTTGCCTCTCATCTGTCCAGGAAAAAATATTTTTTGAAAGACATTTGTTTTTTCACCCTGCAAGTGGGATTTGAAACATATCTGAGAGGTTTCAAGGTTTTGGGACCTTGGGCTTCACAGTCTGTAAATAAGGCTACTGCTTCATAAATAACTTTGTTGATATGTACCTTTCAGATGTAACAGTAAAAATCCTTATCAACAGCTGTCAGAAATCTTATCGTTCGTTTCACGTATTAGATTTTTAGGTTTCTAAATACCAATAAAACATGCTTGAACTCAAGGATGTTATATGTGCCTCTATGTTATACATGTCTGTATTTATCTTCATATATATAACATTTAGAAATACAGCTCTTTCCTAAAACTAAGGCAGCCTCTCTCTAAGCTTGTGTGTGTATGTGAAATATATATGAATGAAATATATTTATATATATAAATTTAAACGTGTATTTATATATAAATAAAAATATATTTTTTGCTTCTTCCCAAAATGAAGCTTTGTATTTTCATATGTATTCGTGTGTGTGTGTGTGTGTGTGTGTGTTTCCATTTTTTTCTAGTGGTTTTCTGTAAAAGTTAGGTTTAAATTCTGCTTTTAGAAAATGCTGAAAATGAAAGCTAATTGCTTTAGCAATATTAGACCTTCAAAATAGAAAGCACTGCAAGAATTTTTAATAAAGTTATAGCTCAGTTTATTAAATTGCTTAATCAATAAACAGAAGAAAAGTGTTTTTCTGTATAATGACGTTCAGTATCATTTTTCCTCTACTTAAGAAATTACATACTTTTCAATGTTTGCATTGCTGTGCACAAAGGATCGTTTCTTTTCTTAGAATACTGTTTGTTATTCTGAAATATGATTATGAAGCCATTGAATAATTGCCTGCAGAACCAATAACACATTTTCCTCATGTTTTCTTGTCAGGTGAATATATTGTTATGACGGTTCACTTCCACCTCAGACGGAAGATGGGTTATTTTATGATTCAGACGTATATTCCATGCATTATGACAGTGATTCTTTCTCAAGTTTCATTCTGGATAAATAAAGAATCGGTTCCAGCTAGGACTGTATTTGGTAATTGCAATTCATTATTTGGGTGTTTTTGTCCACATTACATTTTGATCATGATTCATGGGAATAGCCCTTAGATATATCTAAGAAAATATTAAAGACTCACATATCAGGCTGTACTGAATAAAGACTCATATAAGCTTTCATTTTTATCTAGCCAATACAAAGTAATAAGGCAATGCAAAGTAAAGGGAGATATGGACAGTCCTTCCTTCCTCTGGGGCCAGGCATGAGATTTCTCTTGTTGAAAACCAGGCAGGTGAAGACTAAATGTGAATCTGGATATAAGTTCACCTTTAGTGATATTCTTGGGTTCCTAGCATAATCCTGTGTAATTGAATTAAAATTATATTTAGGTGTTAAAATGAAATGCACTGGGAGCTTAAAATAAAACAAATAAAAGTTATGGATGAATGAATATGAAAGCCTTAGAATAATTTGGCTTTTAATGAAGAGGAACAAAATTCAAATAGTTTAAATGCATTGAATTGGAAGGTATGATGTGCTTAGTTTACAAGCTCACCATTATATTCTACCTCCGTATCTTTTTCTTCTAAACTACTTTTTTCTTTTTTTTTTTTTATAGTGGCTTCACATATATAGTTATCTGAACCACATGAAGTCCAGAACATATGAGTTTTAAATTTTTATAAGTGTTAATAAGTCTTTTACATATCAGTCATGCTTTTAAATAGTAAAATTAGTTATGATTACATTTATTTAACTTAATATCTTCCTCTATACTTTCTCTGTTCATTGTGAGTAGCAAAAGCATTCAGTGGTGGGATAAGAAGGAAAACGATCAGAATTCCTCTGGAATGGAGATATAGTCCTCACAAGAGATGTCAATTTCTCTTTGCTTTTCTGTTTGGTAGGATCACAGCCATGGTATAATAATATCCCTTATCACACAAGAGCTGAAGGGATGCTGGTGAGAAGGAACTGGAGGGAGTGGGAGTTTTCCATCCTACCTCCTCATCCTTTTAGAGAACTGCTGATAAGGGTGTCTTAGTGTCCTCAATGGACCTGAAATACCCACCGCAGATACATTTCTTCCATAAACAGCCACTGTCTCTTTAATCTTAGGTTTGCCCAAGAAAGTATTGGAATCATACTGGAGAGACTCATAGAGGGTTAATGTTGGGGGCAGGGTGTGATCTCAGGAAGGCAGTGAGCAGTTTTAATGGTACTTACCTACTTCACAGAGTTATGAGAGTTCAATCAAAGAATAAATGCACATTGCAAGTGTTGAAGAAATTTTAGCTATTAAATACAGGTGTGAAAATGAAAGAGAGAGACAACGAATCTAGGCTTTGGGGGCCAACAGGCTGGGGGTTAAAACCCAAACCTGCCACTTATTTTCTTTATCCATAAAATTGTGATAATTCATACATCTCTTCTTCATAAACTAGTGGGGATTTAAAGAGTTATGTACAGCACTCAGTACGGGGTACCTGGAGCACTTAGTTCATATTAGATATTCTCTCCCATACTTTTCTTACTTAGGGGAGATTTATTGTGTTCTTACTTGGCTTCCTTGATTTTTAAGTGTCTTAAAGGAAACATATATCTTCCTAGTGTGTACTACCAGGCACTCTGCTAAGTTTTTGATGTTCATTATCTCATTTAACATTCGCATGAACCTTGGTCTTTGCACATCATGTTTAGAGGCAGCCTGACTAGGCTGGAAGTCTCTGCTGAGGCTGAGCACCAGATCATAGTTCCTTAACTTTTCCTAGTACAAAAAACATTAACATTTCAGTATCATTGAAAAATTTTAAAAAGCATATGTTTCTACTAGGCTTTAAAAATAAAAAAAAATCACTTGAACACATATTATTCATTTTTTCTATGGTCATAAAGAGCTTCTAAAACAGAAAATATTGGTCCATCATAGGTGCCTCTGATGAAGAGGTGGGAGTATCACACGTGCAGACTCTGGAGACAGAAAGCCTAGGTTCTAACCCCAGGGTCTACTTCTTATTAGCTCTGAACCTTTACTGAGTTACTTCTCCTTGTTTCCTCATGTGGTAAAGCAGGATGAATGGTTGTACCTAACTCATAATGTTGCTATGAGGATTAAGTGAGTTAATTTGGATAAAGTACTTGAAATAATGCCTAGCACATAGTTAATACTATTTAAGTGTTATTTATTAATAAGGCATTCCATGCTGCCCTCTACTTAATTTATGAATCGCTGCTTGATACTGTAATGTGAATGTCCTTTGTGTTTTATCATTATTGTGATTGGTTGATAAGCTTTAAATGCTTCCTTGATTGATTACAAACTGGCAGTTGTTCTGTCTCACTTGTCCCCAAATAATAGAAATTTCCAATGCTGTGGGGAGAAATAGCACTGATTACAGCTGTACTCACCCAATATCTCCTATCAAAATAAGATAGTATAAGGAAATTAAGTAGCATGTAGCAAGGATTCTAGTATTATTACTAGTGCCAATGATGAGAGGATTTGCCAGATACTGATGAAGTCATTTTATTTAACCTTCACTATAATTCAGCAAGGTAGGCATTGCTATTTTTTTTACAGATAAGGAAAATGGCTTAAAGTTATGAAGAAGATTGTATAAAAGTCACACAATTGTAAATTGTGGACCGAAGACAATTTCTGTCTTACTTTGAGAACTCAGCCATTCTGTCTTCATAGGGGGAATGGGGATGTGGGAACTTGTGGACAATTCCAGAGCTGCTGGGTAAGATAATATGGATATGTGCTGAAGATATTTTGTGGGTAGGTCTTTTCATTTGAAATTTGTTCCTGTTTTGTGCCCATGTGCCAAGATTTTAGTTTTAGTTGATAAGGGAAATATGCCAGTGCTTAAGTCTTCAAAGACCTAAGATATATCAGAATGGTAATCATTAGACTATCACTGAGGGCCTAGGATGGTACTTTCATAGGGAAGTTAAGTTTTAAGTATTTGGGGGCATTAGCATTCTATTTCATATGAAATTTAAGTGAAAATAATTCTAAGCTATTTTTTTTTCTTGCCTAATTCTTATTTCCCTCTTCACTCATAAGGAGAGATCATGCAAAAACAAAACCAAAAAACATTAGCGTAAATATGAGGAGCCAAGTGTGCTAAATTCTCTCCAAAGGCCTCTATCTCCAAAGCTGTATGCCTGTAAGTCTTCTAATTATTCCAGTATAGCAAAACATTAAACATGAGTAAATGCCAGCTGGCATATCTAAATCATTGCTATTTCATTTTCTAGAAGTGGCCAGCCAAAAATTCACTCTTGTGTACAGTCTTAGCCTACTCTTACACATCCTTTCCCAGCTTCTGGGCCAGCCAATATGGTGCACATTCAGCATTCTAAATGTAGGGACTGGCATCAATACTTGAATGTGTCAAAAAAAAAAAATTATGGCTTTTAAATGTATTCAGGGTAGACATCGGCTAAGCCATTTACAACAGAATCATTGTTTTCCTAGATGAAGGAAGAATAAATTCTTCCCTGAAAGGTTGGTTCGTATTTGCTGTTCCCTGGTGTTTATTGAACTAAATCTCTACCTAAAACCAGGTGTAATAAGCACATCTTTGCCATCCTAGTGTTTTCCTCAAATATGAACACCAAGCTGAGAGAACTTTTTAATGTTGAAAGAGATGGCAACTTTTAAACATTTTGCTGTTTACTCCAGCTACTTTCCTAATTTTGCCAGCAGTTATAGTATAGGAACCATAACATCTGGAGGGCTATTCCACAAACTTTGAAATCAAGCCGATTCAAAATAATGAAAGAGAAATTGAAAGTAGCCACAAATCCAGCATTTGTGTTTGTCAGCCTCCACAGCATCATTTAACTTATGAACCTGGAGGTTTATCTCCCTTAACAACAAGAAACTAATTTGTGGATTCATAGCTCAATAATTGCATTAGTAATTCTGTTTGCTCAACATGAAAGAGTGCTTTTTTTTCACATGAGAGTAGGAGATGGTGAAGACCATTACTTCTGATCTGCAGGAAAAATCGTTCTATTATGAAAAATAAGTAAAATGTTCAGAGTAATATGGGGAATCCTAAGTTGCTTATATTTGAATTTTAGAATCCTTTTTGTTTATCACATTATGGTCTCTGTGGAATTTTCTGAGTACTGAGTAATATTCTTATTTAGACGGCACTATTTATATTTTATTTCCAGTGCTTTCATCATAATTTCTGTGACATTAGAGAAAAAATACTGCTTACATATCTAAGAAAGTTGTAAAAATTTCTGAATTTTTAATAGACTATTAAACTTAAATTGTTATGAATAAGAAAAAAATTTGGGCCGACCCCGTGGTGCACTTGGGAGAGTGCAGCGCTGGGAGCACAGCGGCGCTCCCGCCACAGGTTCAGATCCTATATAGTGATGGCCGGTGCGCTCACTGGCTGAGCACGGTGTGGGCGACACCACACCAAGGGTTGCGATCCTCTTACCGGTCACAAAAAGGACAAAAAAAAAAAAGAAAAAAGAAAAAAATTTGATTGATCCTCAAACTTTGTAGCTAAAATTTTTCAAAGTAATTTTGCAGTTTATTCATATATTTCCCAGCCAGCATGGGAATGGTGTCACCTTTCTGAGATTCAAACTGGAAACCTCAATGTTCTATGGTCTCTTTCTGAAACAAAGTCCAATAAATTCATAATATTGCACTTTCCATAGATACATAAACACTATGCCTTTGACTGAATAAAGTCATTTTAAAATCTATTTAAACTAATAAAATTCTAAAAATACCATAACAATTTTTAAAAAGGAAAGACAAACCAAATCCTCAAATGTCTCTACATAGTTTATGGAATGTTTTTCAAAGATCTATAGCTTATCTGCTACACAGTTGCTCCAATTTTTCATGTTCTGGTATTGAAGATTGAGAAGAGGAGTGGAATTCAGAGAAAATGAATAGGTGAGGAAGTAGAAAAATGAGTTTTCATTTCCTGTGCATTTATCATGTGTCTGGCACTATGTGAAATATTATGGTAAACCTGAAGCAGTATGAGACATGTCTGCCCTCGAAGCTATGCTCAGTCGAGTTGTGGAAACAAGGTTCATATTTGAGGGACAGTTAGGGAACAGTACTAGGCAGAATACAACTAAATGCTGAGTTGAGGAGAAAATGTTATTTTTCTGAAATCAAAACATTACTATTTATGGTTGCGTTGGCCTCACTATCTCTATAGTTGAACGTGTATTATTTGCCTTTCAGCTGGGGATTGGCATGGATTGGAATAAACAGTTTAGATGCCTTCATCATTATCGTCATCACCATCATCATCATCATTCCCAAAGACGTGGGTGTGTCAACTTCAGGAGCTGTCTAGGCATTATATAGAATAAGTTCAAATGGATGTAGTAAATCCCCACAGGAATTACCAGGCTCAATGAGATCATATGGATTAGATAGATAGACATAGATGCAGAAAGGGAGAACTGTACACATATTAGCATCCTTAAATAACGCATTGCTCTATAGCTCCAGTGGCAAGTGGAATTTTTCTACTGAGAATGGGGACTGACTTTTTTTCCAGGCTGAGGAGAAAGCTTTCCTAGAGGTGGTGCTTCAGAAGCCTGTTGATAGAAAACAAGTACCTCTGTTCTTTTTGCAGATATTTTCCTGCCAGCTGTGAACTGATGGGTGGTAGACATACAGTATTTTTAAGGCCAAATTTCTCTAGAAATCTATTTGTCTAGAAATATACTTCTATATAAATTAAGCTCCTTCATGACTAGAAAAATTATTGGTTTATTTCAATAGATAATAACCAGTTAAAGATAGGAAAGACTTATTGATAATTTGTGCTTTTTTCTGGCAGTGACTCTGAATAGCAGTGGGCCATGCTTTCCCCAATAACTTTGCTGCTCCAGTTTAGGAGGAGAGTGCTCCCAACTTCCCATTCCTAGCTGAGAATCACTGCTTTCATGAATCACTCTTCTTACTAGGTGTGTGTGTTGAGTTCCTCAGTTATGTTGGCTCAGGTTCTAATATCAACCCGCTATACACTATATGATATATCCTATATGCTATATACGTACATACATACATATATATATGTCTTATATACTTTTAATCTTTATAGAAAACCCAGTAGGAAGGTACCAAATTAAGCCCAATGAGTTTCTCAAACTTAATCCAAGTCATATTGAGTCAATGATTAGAAATACCGGGATTTGAACCATGTGTGTGTCTCACTCCATAGCCTGTTGTAATTTCACTAAGCCACTAGGATTTGAATCCTACATCAAATATGGTTTTGTTTGAGTTATTGTAAGCTTTGTCAACCCCATCCCACCTAATCCCCTGGGGCTTTTTGTTTGTTTTGCGTAGGAATTAATGGTAAGGTGTTTTGTCTCTTTGCTCTTTTGCTTTGAAGGAATAACCACAGTCCTCACCATGACCACACTAAGCATCAGTGCACGGCATTCTTTGCCCAAAGTGTCCTATGCTACTGCCATGGATTGGTTCATAGCTGTCTGCTTTGCTTTTGTATTTTCGGCCCTTATTGAGTTTGCTGCTGTCAACTATTTCACTAATATTCAAATGGAAAAAGCCAAAAGGAAGACATCAAAACCTCTTCAGGAAATTCCAGCTGCTCCAGTGCTGAGAGAAAAGCATCCTGAAGCACCTCTGCAGGTATTTGGCTTAATCTCCTTCAGTTTAAGATTTAAGCTTCTTGGTCAAATTTGTGTTGCCCCAGGGAAAAAGTGAGAACTTGAAAATCCCAATTTGTAAGTTATTTAAACATTTAGAAAAATATAAAAGGATGCTTATGAATTTAAACTTTAAAATGGTGATTGATAACTTAAAAATAAAGCAGCTCTCAATGAGCCAGATGTAGCTGCTTCAAACTTTCTTTAGGAATTCAAAGTTTTTGACAGAAAGGGGACAAATCTCATGTATACTATTAAGAGGAACCCGTGGATGTCTTTGAGTGGGTTGGAAAGGCATTTTAGTTGAGTTCATTGAACAATGTGCAGCAGTGGTTCTTAACATGGCCCCATGTTAGAACTACCCCATGGGGCTGGGTAGGGCCTGTATCCTTGTATTAAATAAGAAAACAAAACCAATAAATAAGAAGACCCATAGTTGTAGTTGACATACGTCCAAGATTGAGAATTCTTTCCTGAAAGAGATAGATCTAAGAGGATGTGGAAAGCCTAATAAGAACTACTGTAATTCATATTTAGCACATCAGTAACTGTGATGTAAAAAAAAAGCAAAAATTTTAAAAGTGTCTTTTTCCTCACGAAGTACAATTGTTCAAAAATAGTAAGACCTTCATGAAAATAGGAAAGCAGCAAAGCAAATAGGCAACCCCTCTCTCTCTTATTCGTTTACTCTCTTTTCTCTCTTCCTTTTCCTCTTCCTCTGCTACTCTGTTCTCTCTCTCACTCTCTCTCTCTATCACTCTAGCTCTCACTGTCACTCTACTCAGCTTGTTGCTTGAGTCAGCAGACAAATGTCTGTGGTCACTTACACACTGCCTATCATAGTTGCCACAAATGGTAGTCTACAACTCCTTTTTTCTACGTGTACTCAAATCAAAGTGTGTAGAAATCATCAGCTGTATTGTCTACAGGCGACAGCTCAGTTCATTCATTCATTCGCTCATTCAGTAAATATGTATTTAATGCCAACTATGTGCCAGGATCTTTTTAAATTCTGGGGATAAAACCCCAGCAAACCCCCAGCAAGTATCCTGCTATGTGGAGCTTATGTTTGTTTGTGTTGGGCTAGGGATGGGAGGCAGACAATTTTTAAAAACTACAAATAATAAAACAGGTCATGTGTTAGATGGCGATAGTGCTCTGACAGTGCTAAAGCACTAAAGGTGGGCAGGAAGTGCTAGAGCAGGGTGAGAAGAATGTGATTCTGTTCTCAGAGAGAAAATGACACTTGAACAAGTTAGATTAGGTCTCCACCTGGCAGGCGTTAAGTGGTCAGCATCCTGCAGCTTGTAGCTCTGCTCCTGCAAGGCTCTAGGAGCTGGTCTCTAAGAAAGGCATGTGAATAGGTAGGAAAACAAATGCCTTTCCACTAAGTGAGTTTAGATAGCTTATGTTTTCCTCTAAATGAATCCATTCTATTGTGATTTTCAAAACTATCAGGATGCATTTTGCGTACTATTTTTAGTGAAAAAAATACTCATTGAGTGTGCAGTTTTACTCTCTTTCCCATTCCCCATAGGTAAACTTAAACTCTGCCTTTTATTGTTATTTTATTTTGCTTTGCTTTATTGGTTTGAAGCATCAATAGACGAATTCTATTTTGTGGCTCCTTTCAAAAAATCCAACCTTGGATTTATGTATTTTTTTCACTGTTTGTGTTTTATAATGATTGATTCATGATTTTATTTAATTCCATCTTTCTGTAGGTTAATTTTGTTACTTTTTTCTAGCTTCTAGAATTTACTTCTTATTAATTTATTTTCAGTTTCATATTTAATAATAAAGTTTTCTTTATTATGAGATTTCCTTTTCATATAGCTTTAACCATAATTCATAAGTTTTGATATATGATATTATCATAATTATTTGCTAAATATTCTATAATTATGTTGCTTCTGCTTTTCTTTATGAGCTAAGAATTATTTGAAGATAACATTAGAAATTCCAAGTGGGATTTTGTTGTTGTTGTTTAACACCATTGCTAATTTTTAGTTGTATTGCATGTATTTAGAAATAGTACCTACACAGATTTGAATGTTACAGATATTTTCATTGTGCCCTAAGTTACACTAAAAGCTTATAAATGTTTGATGGCAGTTTGAAAGGAATTATTTTTAGTTATTAAATTAACTTTATTAAGGACATTATTTCACCCTTTTAATAAGTCACCTCTAGTCTTCTTGATTTTTCAAATACCAGGAAATTCATGAAAAATTCTCTTACTAATATTATGAGATTGTGCAAACTTGGTTTCATTTTAAGTTTTTGTTTTATACATTTTGATGCTACGATATTCGGCATGTAAACATTCATACTGCTCTACTTCCATATCAGTCTATGCATTTAATTATAAATAAACTTTTTGCTTTTCTCTCATATAATACTTTTATATTATCTCATATAATACTTTTTTAATAACACTTAATCAGAACAAAGCTATTCTGCAGAATTTCCAAAGAACCAATAGTCTTCCATTTCTCCCTGAAACATATCTCTTGACTACAGCAATTGCCATTGCCAGTAAATGCTTGGTTGAGTTCATCTGATTGGTTAAGTCCATTCTGATTCAGTAACTGCTCTTTGCAGCACAGTTCACTTGCTGTGTGCACATGGCATATCCAAGGTCAAGATGGAATTTGTGAAGGGCATACAATCACGCAATTTAAGCATTGGGAAGGGCTTTAAAATAAGTCTAGTCAAAATATGCATCATATGCTTCATGTCCTACACAATATATGACTATGTGAGTGTAATAACTTTTATCTCCACAGCAGTTTACTTGAAGAATATCTGTGTTCTAAAGACAGTAATTAATGGATTGGCCCACCCAGCCATTGGACTCCAAATCCCTGCTAGAGTGCAGCTAGATTTGGAGTATCAGTTGTCATTGAAGGGCTTCAATATCAAGTTCAACTTTGAAGGTTGAGAACATATTAATAGTAATGGAAAGAGAGCAAGGATAAAAAAAGGATAGATAAATAGGAAAAAAGAAATCAAGAAGGAGAAAGTGTGTTAGCAAAATTTTACGACATATTACTAGAAGGAAATATTCTAAGAATCTTATAAGCTTTGGAGTTTCAGTAGAGCTTCTAATCAGACAGATGGAATTTGCCTATTCAAATATGTGTTCTAACTTGTACAGCCATTTACTTATTTAAATGATGCTACCTTTAGTTAAAGTGTTTTTGAACCTCTCATTTGAAATTGCCTTCAGAGTTTACACATTGGCAGTTCAATAGTCCTTTGGGTATGCTCACTAGTAGCTTGATTCATTGTCACCATATGTGATCTATGGTCTGTTAATGGCCTGGCAAAGGCTTGTGGTGACCATTTCTATTCTTTGGGAATTAGAAAGATTATGGTTTATGGAATATTCATGAAGCAAGGAGAAAAGGCCAATTGGCAGAATCTAAGAGCAGCTATGCATAGTTTGAGTATGTCTTCAGGCATCTGAGGAGGCAAAGCAGCTGCTTCTGCTCATCATTACCTTGATTCTGCCTTAAATATTTGAGTTGAGTTTCATTCTTGTGATTCTATCCTTCCACTTCCTATTAGCTGTTAGAGTGCCTAACAAGTACTGATGCAGGTGTTTAGATGAATAGAATGGTTTGAAAAATAAATAACTATAGAATTAAAAAAGCGAAGCTTTCTTAATAAAATAATATTTTTAAAAAATCACTTGAAGATATATACTTTAGTTCTTGTTCAGCCACAAAGTATGCATTAATGTATGTATACTGTATCTTATGAAAAAAATCCATTGACATAATGACAGTGGCTAACATTGTTGAGCTCTTATTTGTGTCAGGTATTATGTGATGTGCTTTACATGTGTTACTTAATTTCAAGCTCACAATAACTAGATGAAGAATCTGAGGCTGGCAGTTGTTAGGTGATATATTCAAGGTAACATGGTCAGAAAATGGTAAACAATATTGAAATTGTCAGCTGTGTCTAAGTGCGGAGCTCATTCTCTTAATAAATTTAATTTATGATAAATCTATAAAGAATAGACATTAGAATGTGTCTGTATATATGTATATGTATATACATGTACATACAGTACATGTGTGTATAGATATAGATATTGATATATATAAATAATGATCAGTCCAATAAAGAGTATTTTTGTTCATATTTCTTTAAATAAATTACAGTAGCATAATATTCAAATGCCTTTTATGTGCCAGTAATAAGAGCTTTTACAAACATTTTATCTATAAGCTAATTCTAGCAATTTATAAAATATGTCCTATTTTTATCCGTGTTTTACCAATGAGGAAATTATTATTAAGGACCAACTAATCTGCCCAAGGTACCTATCTAGTAAGTGGCATGGCAGAGACAGCAAAACCCTTCCCTTTAACCTTCAAACCTTAATGAGTGATGAGCTATGTTGGGTGAGAGAAATGGAGGATAAGATGGATGGTGGTGACATCGATCACCAGGATAGGACAGAGGAATGAAGCATGTTTAATGAAGAAGGGGATAGGCAGAGATTTCCATAGCAAGCCATTTTCTCCTTTCCCACAATAATGACAGCTTTCTTTTTTCAAACTACTAGGGCATACTTCTCCACTGCATGCATTCACTTCCCATCTGCCTAATTTCTTTTTCTCTTTGTTTCCATTTCACCATACCTATTCTCCATGGACTTTTCGACTTTAAAGTATTCATGGATTCTTACAAGGCTATTTGCAAAATTAAAGAGCTAATTGCTCTGCTTAGAGTCTTTAAGAAAAAGATGATTTATAAAAAAAGAATATATAAATAATTCAAGATACACCTTGGATTCAGTAATTCAAGTGCCCCCATGAGAATCTCCTTTTTAAATTATCCATTCTTCAAAGTCAAACTCTAATCTTATTTCCCATATGGGGCTCATTCCGACTGAGCTCCAGGATCTCAAGGATCCACATCTATAAAGTGGGGGTAATAATAGAACCTACTGGAAAGTTCTATAGT